CCGTTGCCCCAGTCCTCGGCCTTCAGCTGGGTTTTATAAAACCTTTTCCCTTTAGGCCTCTGCCACTGTGTGCAAAAAAAAAAAAAAAAAAGGTTCAATCAATCAGTCAATTTCAACTTCTCGCGAGAAAAAAAAATCTTGCAAAGTTGGAATTGATTGAACTTTTTAGTCCCACCTGGTCTGCTGTTACCACTTCAGCCATGCCCACCCAATAGGCCATGCCCACCCAATGGGCCACACCCACCCAGCCCCCCGACGATCATAAGAGGGTTTTGGGTTGCAGTTTGGGCACTCAGTCTCTAAAAGGTTCGCCATCACTGGTTTATTAAGAAGATGAAGTATTGTACTCCCACAGAATACAATTCCAGTACTGGAATTTTAGTTTGAAATTCTTACAGAGTTTCCCTAATTAGGCTTTACTGTGGCTATGATGGCAAAAGACTGGTTTATCTGCATTAAGATGACATATATCAATATAGTTAGATGTAGATGGAGGATCCACTGTTAAGTGGAGACATGAAGAGAAGAAAAATGGAAATATCATTGTACTCAGGTGTCATCCTCTAACTCAGGGGTGAACAATTAATTTTCCCAAGGAGTCTTCTGAGAAACTGGGACTGTGATGAAGAGCCAAACCAATAGGCTAAACTTAATTCTGCTGCTGTCACCCATGTGTTGAAGGAAGAGGGAACGTGGAGCCTCCCTTCACTCCACCTCAGTCTGCCGCAGCTTTTCTGCAGGTGCAGAAAGTCGCTTTCTCTTGCCAGTCAACTAAAGGAGCACATTTGGCTTCTTGTCCTGACCCCTGCTGCGTGCCTATTTAAATTTTATTTTCTAACTTCCAATTGATCTCAGACAGGCAAACAGGGACAGCCAAAGGGCCAGATATGGCATGTGGGTTGGAGGCTGTAAAATGCCCAGGTCTGCCCTAACTGTTAAATAGAGATATTCAGGTCATTGAATGATATTGAAATAATTAAATGATTTGGCCTTGATTTATCAGCCCTTCATTTATTTTTATATTATAGTAAATGTTTGATTTAAGTGCTAAGCAAGGATTTATAGCACTGAAACATAATTATTGGTGTTGACAGGAAACAAAGAAGGAAAGGAAAGAAAAGCCATTGGAAAGGCTGGACAGTTAGACGGACCCAATCTGAATGATGACAGATGAATGTCATCACCCTATATTTAATATAGGGTGAATATCACCCTATATTAAAATGACCTATGCTATGTATAATTATAAAGAAAGACAATCACAACATTAAGAGTGTATGTGCCTCAGAAACATTTCAAAGGCCCATTAATATGAAATAATTTTGAGGCTTCCATGAATGCAGGAAGGGAAGGTCCAATAGACATAGAATGTCTATGCTAATCAAAAATTAGAAGATATCTAATGGCACCTTTTCCAACATATGATATTAAAAGGCATAAGTGTTCATGAGCTGTATTGTGCATCTGATATACTGAAACTGCACTTCACAAAAGTTTATGTCTTTTAATAAAATTTGTTTCTAGGATATCAGACTCTTTCTGATTTTTGTTTCCCACAATTTTTTGTGAGGAAGAAAACAATGAAAGAAAATACTTAAAACTGTTTTACAGATCACTGATTGTAATATATATATTGTAGAAGGATAAATGGGAAAATATATGATTAAAAGGATTGAATTTTACATTGTGTTATGTCATCCAAAATATTTTTTAATCAAATGACATATTGTTGGTACACAATGCCAGAAAAATTATCTAGAAAATGCTTCAAATGAATATTGGAAATCTGAGACATTACGGGACATTTTATCATGCTTGATGGACATGTAAAAAAGCTAAAAAATTGAATTTAAATACATAATGTGATACAGAAGATTTTAAAGTTCAGTATTCAATTGAAACTGGAGATTCCCTTTCAAGACTAATGAATAAACAGAAAAAAAGCCATGGAACATATTTCAATGTATGATTATTGCAGCAAGATTATTATATGCACAGAGATGAAAAGATCTGACATTCTCCACAATAAAGGAATGGTTGATAAAGTTGACAGGTTTTGCTGAAATGGATAAACTGACTTCTTGATTAGAGAAAAAAACATTATCTACATTTATTGGTTATGGGCTTTCTGAATAAAAATGAAAAAAGTGAACTTGTGACTTACGGCTTTGATGACAAGTTGGGATATATTATAGAAAGAGTAGTAGTATGATGTAACTTTACAAAGAAAGGTCAAAGATATTTATACTTACAACTCCTGTGAAGAATATTGGAAATTTATTATCTTTTTTCTTATCTTTAACTTCTTTTCTTACATCTTTTTCTTTTTATTTGATTTCTTTCTTTTTTTCTTCCTTATTTTATATTAGTTTGTATTTTTATCTTGTTTAAAAGTTTAAATAAAATGATATACACATGGGCATATACATATACTAGTTGGGTCACAGATCCAAGGAGCCAATACTAAGGATCCATTCTTTAATCTTTACATAAGAATAAGTTATTATATCTCAGGAACTCACTCCCTGAATAAATATGTATACACTAAGTACTGTAGATTCTACCAGTTGATAGACAGTGATGCTGCATGACATTTCAACTTGTACAGTAGATATTAGGTACATATTACATGTCTTAATGTGGTTTCTCTGACTTTGACTTAATGATGTAAAAAGTTATTGTTCTAAAAGGAAGGCTCTTGGAGGTTTTAGAATAAATATTTTTATTATAGCACTTAACATTTTATTTATGCTATTTATTATCATTTTTGTCTGGTCATCACAGCTACACAACACTCAATAAATGTTGGGTCTGTTTAGCATTAAGGTATCTCATCCATTCCTTACTATGGCAGGACTGCAAAAGTGTTAGCAAAGTTTGGTCCACTGTCCACTTTACATTTTCCCAAGATAAACTCATTGAGGCAGCATAATTGAGAATAATGTGCAGTTTCTTTGGGATATATCTGTTCAGAGTCCCACTTGTCCTATTCCTAGATACCGCTTGCAACAAGACTTTGGCACACTTCCCCAATATGCACATTCTGAAACTAGATCTATCCCAAAGACAGCAACTCCACACAAACTTAATTGGAAACCCCATCAGTTTGGTCCTACTTGCTTCAGTATTATTCTATATAGGAAGTATTTTGAAGAAAGCACATACTTGGGCACACTTTAAATCAGCAAGAGAATAAGTACATGGCCTAGGCCAGGGGTAGGCAACCTTGACTCTTTTATGACTTGTGGACTTCAACTCCCAAAATTCAGAGCAAGCCATGCTGGCTCAGGAATTCTGGGAGTTGAAATCCACGAGTCATAAAAGAGCCAAGGTTGCCTATAAATTACATAACCACGACCATTATACAGCATTATACAGTGTATTTTAGTAATAGTAATAAAGTTGGAAGGGACCTTGGAGGTCATGTAGTCCAACCCCCTGTTCAGGCAGGAAACCCTACACCATTTTGGACAAATGGCTGTCCAGTCTCTTCTTAAAAACTTCCAGTGTTGGAGCATTTACTGCTTCTGGAGCAGGCTGTTCCACTGATTAATTGTTCTCACTGTCAGGAAGTTTCTCCTTAGTTCTAGGTTGCTTCTCTCCTTGATTAGTTTCCACCCGTTGCTTCTTGTCCTGCCTTCAGGTGCTTTGGAAAATAGCTTAATTCCCTCTTCTTTATGGCAGCTCCTGAGATATTGGAATACTGCTATCATGTCCCCCCTTGTCCTTCTCTTCGTTAAACTAGACATACCCAATTCTCGCAACCGTTCCTTATATGTTTTAGCCTCCAGTCCCCTAATCATCTTTGTTGCTCTTCTCTGTGCTCTTTCTAGAGCAGTAGTTCTCAACCTTTCTAATGCCGTGACCCCATAATACAGTTCCCCATGTTGTGGTGACCCCCAAGTGGGTGTGGCCACCAATAAGAGGGAGTAGGGCAGCTAGGGAAAAGGGGAAAAAATGGTGGACAGCGTGGTTTGGCGACCCCCATGAAATGGTCGTTCGACCCCAAATGGGGTCCCGACCCACAGGTTGAGAACCACTGTTCTAGAGTCTCAACATCTTTTTTACATCGTGGTGACCAAAACTGGATGCAGTATTCCAAGTGTGGCCTTACCAAGGCATTGAAGAGTGGTCTTAATACTTCACGTGATCTTGATTCTATCCCTCTGTTAATGCAGCCTAGCACTGTGTTGGCCTTTTTGGCAGCTGCAGCACACTGCTGGCTCATATTTAAGTGATTGTCTACTAGGACTCCGAGGTCCCTCTCACAGTTACTTCTATTGAGCATGGTGCCACCTATGCTGTACTTGTGCATTTGGTTTTTCTTGCCTAATGTAGAACCTTGCTTTTTTCACCATTGAATTTCATTTTGTTAGTTAGTGCCCAGTGTTCAAGTCTGTCCAGATCCTTCTGTATCTGAAGCCTGTCTTCTGGAGTGTTGGCTATTCCTGCCAGCTTGGTGTCATCTGCAAATGTGATGAGTTCCCCATCTATCCCTTCATCCAAATCGTTGATGAAGATGTTGAAGAGTACTGGGCCCAGAACAGAGCCCTGGGGCACCCCATTACACACTTCCCTCCATATCGATGCAGTTCCATTGAGGACCACTCGCTGAGTACGGCCGGTCAGCCAGCTACGGATCCATCTGGTGGTGATTCTGTCTACCCACATTTTTCTATCTTATCAAGTAGTAGGTTGTGATCTACTTTATCAAATGCCTTACTGAAGTCCAAGTAAATTATGTCCACAGCATTCCTCTGATCCACTAATTTTGTCACTTGGTCAAAGAATGCAATAAGATTTGTCTGGCATGATCTATTTTTGACAAACCCATGTTGGCTTTTAGTATTAGGCTTTTATCATTTTTTTCCATACATAACTCAAGGCAGCAAATATACCAACACTTCCTATTTTCCCGAAGTGAATTATGATGTATGCTTTAAAGAGCAGAAAATAACTACCCTTAAGAAAACTACAATTTAAAATATTTAACTACTAACCTCTTTAGTTGTTGTAGAAGCAAATATCGGACACCGTTGAATTACACTTGACAAGAAAACTGCAGGGATTTAGTCAGACAGGTAAATCAGACAGGATTGAATGGAAGAAAAAAAATATACGAAGACAGCTGTAAGCTGTTTTTTTATTCAATGTGTCCTGTGTATCTGGATCGGTGTCTATCAACCTTGGTCGCTTGAAGATGCGTGGAGTTGAAATCCATAGATCTTCAAACAACAAAGGTGAAGAAAAGCTGAAATAGACTTGGTTTTTTTTTGTTTGTTTGTTTTTGAGCTAAACAGTTGAGATACCCTTGAATGCGCATGTTATGGAAAGCCAACCGCAGGGTATGTAAGGCTCCGCGGTGTGTACACAAGCAAACAACCCTTTTTAGATCCGTCTTCTGGCCAACCAGACTAACGTAATCACAGCAAGCACCAAGATCACCAAACAACTAAGCAGCTCCGCCCACCAGCCCGTTTCCCACTCGGTAGGAAGCGCGCCCGAGAAGGCGGGAAGAAATGGGCGGGATCGACGCCCCTCCCTTCAGGCTGCGCCACTTCCTGCTGCAGTCGAACTACAACTCCCAGAAACCCTTCGAGTGCCGGTCTGGCTCTGAAAGTGAAAACAAACTTTAAGGTTGCCCATTCCAGTGGAAACATACCACATGTTTCGTTTCCGAGTGGGAAGCTCGGTGACGTGCCAAAGTTGCCCTCGGGAGCTGGTCTGAGGAAGGAGGGCGCGCTGGGTTTAGTGGAGATTAGAGGCAGCGCGGGTGTCCAAAGGAGGAGGCCGAGGAAAAAGCAGTCACCCGCGGTCTCCAGTTCAAGTGGCGCTTCTCTCAAAGAGTCCCACATGCGACCTGCAAACGTGAGCCTAGCGCCTCCCGCTGCCGCCTTGGCAACCGCCTCTCGCCTTCGGACAGCTTTTCCCGGCGGGTTGCTTTCGATGCCGGTCGCCCTGTGCTACATACCCATCTAGTTTCTTTTTCAGTCATGTGAGGCTAACTAAGAGAAGCAATAAATAAACATGGAGGAGGTGACCGGCAGCAAGGAGGAGCAGAGCCGCGTGGGCAACGGAGTGGGGAGCCCTGCCGAGGCAGCCATGGACGGCTACTTGCGATCTCAGGGATTGTACCGCAAGCGAGTGGCGAAGGACGGGTCGTGCCTCTTCCGAGCGGTGGCGGAGCAGGTAAAAAGTGCGGATTTCAGTCAGCAGCCGCGGCTGGGTCAGAGGGCCGGGTGGGGGGGAACGCCTCGTTGGGCGCCTCTCCCAACTTCATACACTACAATTCCCATCACTCTCCGCGGACGATGGGAGACGAGAGGCTGTGGGAAAAATCCAACAAATGGCTGGAAATCAATCGGGAAGGAAGCGAGCCCTGGTTCGCCGTAGGCCGCAGCAGATCGAAATTCCCGTTGGCAGGGGAGGAGGTCTTGGTTGAGCGGGGCTGGCTGTAGGCTATCACCACAACAACCACCACACTGGAGACGGAAGTTTTTAGCTTCTAGCTGAAAGGGGGAGCAGTTAGGGTGTAGTCATTTTATGGGGGAAAAAAAATCTGGGAAAGAAAATTTGGGATGGAAACTCATTCTCCGGGCCTTCCTTATTGCCGTGGCTGCAGATCGTCGTTCATCCTAGTTTCTAGGAAGACTGAAATTTTGCTTTTGCATTCAGAAAGTTATTTTGGCGTTGAGTTTGTTTCCTGTTTCAAAAAAAAATGTGATTCATTTTGTTGACCCAGAAAAAAAAGGGGGGGGGGAGAGATTATTTTGCACTCTGCCTCATTTAAGTCTAATAATTCCCCTCTGCATACATATGGTGTGAACGATATGCACAGTGCAAAACAAGAGAAAATGCTGGGGGATCCTAAGCCTTTAATCTTTGCTGTTAAAATACAAAACTTATCGAAGTTGATCAGCTTTGTTTTTCTTGTGGCTCAGCAAACTTGCAGAGTATTTGTGTGACTCAACCTGCATTTAAATGCAGCATGCAGGATGTCTGGCCTATTGAATAAATGGATGCCCCAAGGGCTTCTTTAATTTAGGCTAGCTTCCTGTAACCTTAATGACTAGGCACTTTTTAAAAAGGCAGGAGTGGAAAGTTTTTCATAATATTGATAAACTTTCACTTCTACTCACATAATATTGGATTTTGATATGAAACTGTACTTGATCAGAGGAATTATCAGGTCTGAGATACTTTAGGGTGGTTCCCAAGAAAAGTTAATATTCATCAAGAAGTCCTTGGTTTGACTTGCATTTCCTTTCTGGAATTTATGAGGTAAGCGACTGTTTTCTGTAGTTGCTTTGAATTCCAACTCTGTAAACCCAGCACACAGTCAGTGAACAGAAATTATGGAAGCTGTAGTCTTAAATAAGAGAATATTGCCTGCCTCTGCAATAAATTTGGTCAGCTAGTTTTGGTTCCTCCTCAAATGTCAATAAAGAAATGTTTATAAAGGAGAAACATTGTTTCCAGGTTAACCCAACAGTAAACCACAATCTAACCAATCAGATTATACTAAATTTTGTGTGAATTTAACTGGTGTTACTAGTTTATGGTTCAATGTATTTTGAGAATCTAGAAAAATTGGATTGAATAAAACCATGGTTCAATTAACAGGCTGAAGACTTTGTGAACACAGCCAGCTCCTTGATGCCACAGATTTTAATTTTGGTATAATAGGCCAATATAGCTAATTCTTTGGAAATAGCTGCATTCCAAATGACTGTAAAATAGTGCATGTCAGGGATTTGAGCAGCAGTTGTATATAGGTAGTCCTCAACTCAACCACTCATTTAGCAACTTTTTGAAATTAGAGTGGCATTGAAAAATTAACATACAACCGGTCCTTTGCACTTAAGAATATTATAATGGGTCCCCATAGCATGTGATTATCATTTGGGCACTTGGCAACCATTATGTATTTACGAAAGTTGCAATATCCCTAGGTCATGTAATTGCCATTTGCGACCTTCCCAGCCAGCTTCTGACAAGCAAATCATGGCGGAAACTCAATTTGCTTAATGACTGCATGATTTACTTAACAGCTGCAGTGATTAACTTTATTGTAGCAAAAAAAAAGATCATAAAATTGACACTCGCTTAACAATCTTACTTAGTAGTGGAAATTCTGGTCAGGATCTTAAAGAGTATCTAAATTGGAGATCTTCAAAACTGTTCATCAGACAGGATATTCAAAACAAGTAACAGTAAACAAACCTGTCCATTTTTGTAGGGATTTGCATCATATAACAATGTCCTGCAGCTTTGAAAACACACACAATACCAGTTAAATATCAATCTGTCTCAATATTGGCTCATAGATTCATTATTAATCAGGCAAAACATGTATCAACATGCTCTTTATTTTGTAAAGAATAAGTAGCTTTTAAGTGCCTTCATCCTTGAACTAGAGACTTTAAAGTTTCAAATATTTCTTGAAATTTTGCATTACTATATGCTTTGTGTTTTAATAATTCTGTCATATCTTTATCTGAAAAGGGCTTAAAATTGATTTAATATATACTGTATGTCTAGATATTTTTATGACTAGTTGCATGGAATGATAACAGATTTGAGACAGGTTCATGGTCTCTTTGAATTAGGTCTTTTACTTAGCTTTACTGGAAATATACAACTGTTGCTAACCTATATGGTGGATGAATAGACAGCCTCAGTTCTGAAGGATAAGAGGTCATTTTATTTTTTAATTTCCTAGATAAATAAAACAACTAAATATTGTTGAAATAAAAAAATATCATTTCAAAATATAGATTGCACTCAGATGGTTTCTTTTGGATATGTTATTTTAAATAAAGATAATCATTTTTTTTGAAAGCTTATTTTGAAATTTGCAGGATTTACTCTACTTCTTTATCTGCATATATAATTAAAGCTGAATTCTAGTTCTAATTAACAACTTTAATCTCTTAGATTTTAAATCTGTAACTAAATATACATAAACTTGGAACCCTTTTTTTTCAGGTTTTCCACTCGCAGATTCAGCATCTTGATGTTAGGATGGCCTGTATAAACTATCTGTGGAAAAACAGAGAGAAATTTGAAGCGGTAAAAACATTATTATATTATGGATAACTATTAAAGCCATTCTGAACCTTTTAAAAGCATCTCCTTTTTTACTATTATGCTCTGAGAAAAAGCATGGTCAATTTGCTTATGACAAGCCATGAGCAGTCATTTTATTTCAGCTAAGTGGATCAATGGGTAGTGCCTGAATAGACCACTTATTGATTATTCCTTGTGTCCAATATTGTGATTTATAATGGACAGAAGACAATATATAAATGTACTAAATAAACCAGGTTTATTACCATATGATGATCAAACTTTTCGTTTGCCTTTATGGGAAGAAACTAACCCTGGACATTGTCTTTCATACCCATAAAAATCCATGGTCTGGTTTGCTTTTTTTTGGGTTTAGCATACTGTAGTTCCTAAACCATGTTTTATGGCTTATATGTAGGGTAAATTCAGCTACGTCACTCAACCATGGTTTATTTAACTATCATAGATGAAACCCAGTTCAATGTGATACATGCCATATCAATATCAGGTAGTTCAGTAAAACTATTTCCTACATGCTAATATGCATCATCCCAAGACTCTTCAATTTTGTACTTTCCAAATGTGGTTAATTTCAACTTCCACAATTCCCACTTAGAATGCCTAGTGGCAGTGCTGGTTTTGATATATGAAGATTCTAGCCCAAAGCATTTGGTGAGTACCACAGTAATTAAGGCTTTCATCAGCCATTAGTTTACTTTTATGAAGCCGTATACTTTCTGGGACTCATTAGGATTCATTAGATTTTAAGAATGGTCTGGGTGTACAAGTGGCTAACATTATGTTCTAACAATATAGTTATACGGTATATATTCCTTGAAATGTTAATATCATAAAGGTATTCATTTTGGTTTGCATATGGAAACATGAGAACTGGATGCATCTGAGATACATGCATTATTTCAAATTTTTGAAATTTCGGTAGTAAAGCAATTATCAACATTGAGAACTTCTAGATATGCGTCCTGCATCTCATAGAATTCTTAGCCATAGGGAATTCTGGGATTTGAAGTTCATTTACATCTGAAAGTCACTAAGTTTGTAAACAATCTGGAGCTTTCCCACAGTGTCCCAATGTCTGCCGCTGAATTACCAGCCTGCAGCTATGGAAAGGAAGTTAACATACAACCTGGTACATTCCTAGATGCTACTCAGAAGCTATATCTATAATTTCTGGCGTATTACTTCTGAGTAAATCAAGTAAGTCTCCACAATTTGAAGATTAGAAGTTAGAATCCTTGATCAAATCTTTTTACAGAAGTGAGCCTTGTTATCTTTACTTGGGAGTAAAACTGGTTGTTTCATCACAGTGCTATTAATGCTTCTTCATTTTGATGCTTTACAGTTTATAGAGGGGCCATTTGAGGAATATCTGAAGCGTCTGGAAAATCCACAGGTATGTGTTATCAAATTAACCACATATATAACATTTGGCTTATCTCATTCCCCTAACGACTGAATCTCGCAAAGTAAATGAACTTTTTTTGATTATTACATGTAATGGTTTTTCAAAGAATGATTAAAAAAGTAAAATGTATGGGTGACTACAGAGAGTCCTTGACTTACGACTACAACTGAGCCCAATGTTTCTGTTGCTAAGTGAGACATTTGTTAAGTGAGTTTTGTCCCATTTTATGACATTTCTTGCCATAGTTGTTAAATGAATCACTGCAGTTGTTAAATTAGTAACACGGTTGTTAAGAGAGACTGGTTCCCTGGTGACTTTGCTTGTCAGAAGTTCACAAAAGGTGATCACATGGCCCCAGGACCCTGCAACCTGAATAAATATGAGTCAGTTGCCAAGTGTCTGAATTTTGATTATGTGACCTGGGGATGCTGCAACCATCAGTGTGAAAAATGGTCATAAGTCAATTTTTGCAGTACAGTTGTAACTTCAAGTGGTCACTAAATGAATTCTTGTACGTTGAGGACTACCTGTATTTACTGCTTCAAGTGCTGGGGGGCATTTGAAGTTGCACAGAAATGTACATTTCCTGCAAGTAGAGATTTGTTTACAGTCATTTGTTTTTTTTAGCTTGCATAAAGCAAAAGAAAGACAAACCTCACATGATACACAAAAATAATAAATATGCATATGAAACTTAAGGAACCATGTACCAAACCATGTTTTGGTGACATAGTTCCTTAAGCAGTAAAATGGGTCTTGGCATACCTTTTCTCTTGTCAGGAACTTAAAATGACTGAGGGAATAAACTGTTTTTGCTGGAAAATTAGAAATAATAAGACAAATAAAGGTAATTAGTATAGCAATATATTATCAGGATAAAATTCTTAAATAATAATTCCTGGGTATCTTCAAGACCATATTTCCTATATAGTTTTTATCTACCCAACCTGGATGGTCAGAGAGCACTTACTAAGTCCCCGTCTACCAGGAGGTGAACAGAGGAGCCCAGTGGGTGTTCTGGGTGGCAGTTCCCTCACATAGAACATCTTTTCTTCTGATCTGAGGAGATCTTTGGGAACTGAGTATAGAACTGAGTATAGAACCATAGGCCTTATATGTATTGTTGTAGAAACATTAAACACTATTCAATTTGCTTATGCAATCTACTGAACAACCCATATCTTCTCCACCCAGCTTTACAGGTAGAATTGGGGATGGGAGCAATAAAACTTGTAGGAAAGTTTTTAATCTGCTTCTTGAAATTTAAAATAGGAAGAATGGTAGTCCACTTGTGATACTCACTTAGGGAGCTTATTAATCTGGCTCTGGTTTTCATGGTAATTGGAATTATTGAAGTTTAATTCTGGTTGAGCTTCTTCCTTGCGGTAATGGCTGAAAATTATTTTTTGTTGGCTCCTCAAAGAAGATGATAAACCAGAAGAATAGAGGTGTCAGCCTCCCTACCGGATTTCGCACGAAGAACACGCTGACGAGATTCTTGTGTTGAAACAGCTCCGGTTTACTTTAGAGAATGCAGTGACGGCTAACACAGACAAGCTTAGCACTAGCTCTGTGCTATACAAAGTTTGCGCTGGGAGCAGCTGCCTCCCAGCGTTATTTAAGTACATTTACACTTGCACCCCGCCCTAGGTTATTACGGACCACACCTTCACACCCGTGCTCATTACCCTACACCTGCACCAACCCCGTTCCCACCCTCCTGGCCTCCAATCAGCATTTACATCATTCTGCGAGACATTCCTCTGCCGGACACCCTGTGTTATTATTGCGATCCGTGGTTCGCCTTCCATCAGCTGACTGTAATTCTACCGCTACTCAGCTGCTAAGCGGGTTTTGAGATGGATCTGCACATGTGCGATAGTCTTTCTGCGCATGTCAGCTTTTGCTCCGCACTACCGCTGGGCTCCGCACTATTGTTAACCTCTTAACCATGGTTGCTTGCGGAGACACTGCCCGTCGTACGTTCTTCCCTCTCGGCCAGTAGGATGGTTCCCCCCCTGCTTGTGTGTCGAGCCCGGGAGAGCTTGACATGCGGCCCCCCTACCAGGTGTCATCCTGCAATAGGTAAAACATAAGTTAGTTTGGGAGGGGAGTAACAGGCACATATCCCATCCCCCCAGGTCTTTGAGGATATTTCCGATGATATTTGCGTATCAACCGAGGGGCTTCCATGTCGGTTTCTCTCACCCATGATGCCTCTGACACTGGATATCCCTTCCACAGTACCAGATATTGTAGTCGGCCCCTCCTATATCTTGAATCTAATAATTTTTCGATTTCATAATGGCCTCCTCCCACTTGTCCTGGCTGTTGGGGTACTTGTCTAAATGATGGTTTAGTTACTGGTTTCAGTAATCCACTGTGGAAAACTGGGTACACTCTACCAAGGCTGCGTGGTAACCTTAATTTTACTGTTACGGGGTTGATTATGCGTTCTATCTTAAAAGGTCCGATATATTTTGGTCCTAGTTTTTTGCACGGTCTGCGTAGGTTTAGATATTTGGTGGACAAATACACTTCTTCACCAACCTGGAAGGGCTTCTGTGGTCTTCTTTATTTATCCGCCTGCTTTTTCGTTGCTAACTCTGCTTTTTGTAGGGCTTTTTTCACGGTTATCCACACATTATTGATTTGTTCTATCCATTCACTTGGTTGTTGTGGTCCTGTATTCCCTTGAGGTAGTTCGGGGATAGGACGAAGTCCATTCCATTAACTATTTTAAATGGAGCAAATCCTGTACTATTATGGATGGTATTATTATACGCTACCTCTGCAAACGGTAGAAGTTCAGCCCAATTTGTTTGCTGATAGTTCACGTAACACCTGAGGTATCGTTCAATCATGGCATTAGCCTGCTCAGCCCCTCCGTTTGTACTGGGATGGAATGCAGTACTTAATCCTTGGGAAGATCCAATTGATTTAATAAAGTTCCTCCAAAACTGAGAGGTGAATTGTACCCGTCAGTCCGAAATGATTTGTCGCGGCACCCCATGTAACCGATAGATATGGGTCACAAAAAGCTTTGCTAGGCGTTTTGCGGATGGTAAACCTTTACATGGGATAAAATGTGCCTGCTTTGAAAACAAGTCTATCACTGTCCAGATAACTGTGCTTCCGTGGCTGGTTGGTAAATCTACTATAAAATCCATGCCTATCTCTTCCCAGGGACGGTTAGGGTCAGAGACTTGTTGTAATAGACCTGCCGGTTTCACCACTCGTGGTTTTGACACCGCACACATGGAACATTCTTGGACATATTTTTCTATATCTTTTTTCATCCCTGGCCACCAAAATTGTCGTTTTATTAGATGTAAGATTTTCAGGAATCCAAAATGCCCAGCTGGTTTCACATCATGACCTCGGTTCAGTACTTTAAGTCGTAACGATTGCGGAACATATAATTTTCCCCCTTTCCAAGCCAGTCCATCTCTCATCGTGAGAGTCTGTGGATTATTTATCATCCATGGGTCATTTCTAAGTTCACTTTGTAGAGTTCGTACCAAGTCTTCCACAGACCGTATCACCGCGATTTTGTCCCTAAGTTGGCCAATCGGGATTATGAGGGCTTGAATCACTTCCTCACGCTTGCTATGGTACTGAGGTTTCCTTGATAACGCATCTGCAAGGAATTTTTTTCCTCCCGGAACGTACTTAAGTTTAAACTTGAATCTTTGGAAATACAAGGCCCACCTGACATGTTTTGGGGCTAATCGCCTAGGCGATTGTAATGCTTCCAGATTCTTGTGGTCAGTCCACACTTCGAACCCCCCTTTTGTCCCTTCAAGGAAGTGACGCCAAGTACTTAACGCCCACCTCACCGCATAGGCTTCCTTCTCCCAAACCGCCTACCTGCGCTCAGTTGCACTCAATTTACGGGAAGTAAATGCACAAGGCTGTAATTTATCTTGTTCATTTTTTTGTAATAATACTGCTCCTACCGCGACATCACTGGCGTCCGTTTGTACCACAAATGGCTCCTCTAGATTGGGGTGTTGTAAAATTGGTTCTCTAGAAAACAAGGTCTTTAATGTTTCAAAAGCACGTAGGCACTCCAGTGACCAGATTAAGGGCTGATTAGGCCGAGGATTGACCCCCATAGTTTTGGTACATAACAGATTTGTTAATGGCAATGCCACCTGGGCAAACGATGGAATGAATTGCCTGTAAAAATTAGCAAAGCCCAGGAAACTTTGTAATTGGCGACGCATTTGTGGCGGTTGCCAGTCTAATACACTTTGGACTTTGGCTGGATCCATTTCTATTCCTCCCCCTGATATTCTATATCCCAAATAATCTAACTTATCCTGGTGAAATGCACACTTTGACAGTTTGACATAAAATCGTGCATCAAGGAGTTTCCGTAGTACTTTGCGTACTAATTCCACATGGTCTTTCCTATTATCTGAATATATAAGAATATCGTCCAGATATACCAAAACCCCTTGGTATAGATACTTATGAAGCACCTCATTTATTAGCTGCATAAAGACAGCAGCGGCTCCTTTCAGGCCAAATGGCATTACTTTATATTGGTAGCTCCCTAACGGACTATTGAATGCTGTCTTCCAGTCATCCCCTTTCTTTATACGTACTCTATAATAAGCTTCTCGTAAATCCAACTTGGTAAAAATTTTACCTTTTGTCAAATGAGCTAATAGATCTTTCATAAGTGGAATGTGGTAGAAATTCTCTACACAGACCGCATTTAAACCCCTGAAGTCTACACACAATCGTAACCCTCCATCTTTCTTTTCTTTAAATAATACAGGGGCTGCCACCCGCTATCTAGCAGGCTGGATAAAACCCCTTGCTAAATTCTTGTTAATATATGTTCTTAATTCTGCCATTTCACTTTGAGTCATTGCGTACATGCGAGGCTTCGGGAGAGTAGCTCCTGGTTCTATATCTATGGCGCAATCAGTCGAACGGTGTGGCGGCAGTACGTCACATTCCTGTTCACTGAAGACTTCTGCCAAGTCAATATATTCCAATGGGATTTCAATTTTTTTCTCGTTACTAGGAACTTGGATTCTAGTCACTTCCTCCCCTCTGTGTACCTGTTCATGTTGAGGTGGGTTAGGGCCAATCCCAATCCATACCCTGCGACATCCTCCTTTCCACCAAATAGTCGGTCCCCACTTGTCTAACCAAGCCAAGCCTAATATTACATTTTCTGTCATGAATGGGACTACGATAAACCTTATCAATTCCCAATGTTCTCCTAACTCCAATCGTACAGGTTCAGTGATGAAAGTAGCAGGTAAACCCCCCAATAAGGACCCATCTACTTGTTCGAACCGTACTGGTGTCTATAATGCCCTTACTCTAATATCCATATTACGTACTAACCGTTCACTAATGAGACACCTAGTACACCCAGTATCAAGTAATGCCTGACATTGGGCCCTTTTTCCTGAATGTGTACTGATGATTGTAATAGGGAGAGTGAACGGGTGTAAGGGTTTGCGTACCATAGGATCTTCTGGTATCTTTACATCCTCCTGATATATGGTTAGGGGGGGTTCCATTCCACCAATTCCTTCATCAACCTCTACTCTCTCCCTTCGTGGCTTCGGGTTATCGACACGTTGTTGTGCTGCCCTCGATCTTTCAGGGATCTTTCCAGGCGATTTCTTCCCCGACCCGTCTATCCCTCCTATAGGGAATGGTTCTTTGCATTCTGCGGCACGATGGCCCGGCAAGTTGCACCGGAAACAGCGGAACGTTGAATGAGATGAATTATCGGGTGTTCCGGATACTGGCCCCATTGGCCAAGCCTGGCCTAGTGGTCTACGAGCCCCCAATGGGTTATCATTCTTAGACCAGAATTCTTGCAACCCCGTATCTAAGTCCGTAACTACTCTAAACCACTCTTGCAATCTTCCAGGAATGCCCCGGAACACATATGCTTGCCTTAACTCCCTGTCTAGACCTGCCTGGAAGTGATGTATTAATAATCTCTCAGGCCAATTCTGTAATTTACCCGCTACCCTATGAAACTCCCTAACATACTCTGCCACTGGCCGGCCCCGTTGCTTGATCCTGAGAACCTCTCCTTCCGCCCTCCGGATCCTGGATAGATCCTCAAACTGATTTCGAAGAGCTTCTAGAAACGCACCAATGTTGGCTAATTCCCGGGCATGGTCAGTATGTAGGTCGGCTACCCACTCTAAAGCCTCTCCCTGTAAGGCTGCTGTTATTGCCCCTACCATGGCCCATTGAGAAGGGTAAAGGTGGCCATACCTATCCATATGCCCAATTGCCTGACTCAAAAAAAATGCCAACCGATCGGGGTTTCCGTCAAAGGTTATATTCATGGGTGGAGAACCCCAACCAACCCCTTGGCCCCAGGGTCCGGGACCCCAACCCATTGTATACGAGGGACCTGTTGGTGCTCCAGCTCTAGATGTAGGTGGCCCTTCTGCGGGAGGACCCCTTGGCGCTGATCTCAAGCCTCTAGATGGAACAGTCGAGGCTCCACTGGTCCCTCCCTGTGATCTATCTTCAGTGCGACTACTACTTTGTGCCCCCACTTTGGCTTGATGTAAATCACTGTGTGTGGCCTCAGGTTTTAATTTTGGACTGGCTAACCTAAAGCGACTCGACGTTGTATGAATGGAAGAGGAACCTTTTTGCGACCATGACGTCGCCTCTGGACCAGGCATCCATCTCTGCCATGAAGGGGCATCCTGATATCCTCCCTCTCCAAATTGCTCTCTTAAAAGATCCATCACAGTCTGACCAGGAGCCGTGGCATAACTCCAGTCCTCCTTCTCATCCGTCGGTCGTCGCTCCCGCCATCTTCTCATCCGAGCATCCTCTGAAGGTCCGGCTCCAGCTCCTTCCGGCATACCTGTTACTACAGGACTTTGCCACCATTCCCCAGCCGGGGTAGGGGCTCCTGACGCTAGCTCTTGGGGTCCTAATGCCTCAATGGGAGGTTTGGGTAGACCTACTTCCTTCATCTTGGGTCGTACCACCACCTGCTCAGCACTAGGAACCTCCAGTCCTTTCTCTTTCTCCTGTACTGGTTCGGAATCGGAGTCACCAGGGATATCCCTCTGCACCCCTTCTGCCATCTTCTTGCAAACTTATTACCCGCACCCTGCCAAGGAATTCATCCAGGGATAATTGCAAGATTCACAAATATTCCCTTTCACCCCAGTACTTTCGCTTAACCCACGAAAAGGGACAAGGGAACACGAACGGAAACAGATGAATATATGGAAAAGGGTGAGCGCAAACCTTTCTGTCAGCCTCCCTACGGGATTTCGCATGAAGAACACGCTGACGAGATTCTTGTGTTGAAACAGCTCCGGTTTACTTTAGAGAATGCAGTGACGGCTAACACAGACAAGCTTAGAACTAGCTCTGTGCTATACAAAGTTTGCGCTGGGAGCAACTGCCTCCCAGCGTTATTTAAGTACATTTACACTTGCACCCCGCCCTAGGTTATTACGGACCACACCTTCACCACACCCGTGCTCATTACCCCACACCTGCACCAACCCCGTTCCCACCCTCCTGGCCTCCAATCAGCATTTACATCATTCTGCGAGACATTCCTCTGCCGGACACCCTGTGTTATTGCAATCCGTGGTTCGCCTTCCATCAGCTGACTGTAATTCTACCACTACTCAGCTGCTAAGCGGGTTTTGAGATGGATCTGTGCATGTGCGATAGTCTTTCTGCGCATGTCAGCTTTTGCTCCGCACTACCGCTGGGCTCCGCACTATTGTTAACCTCTTAACCATGGTTGCTTGCGGAGACACTGCCCGTCGTACATTCTTCCCTCTCAGCCAGTAGGGTGGTTCCCCCCCTGCTTGTGTGTCGAGCCCGGGAGGGCTTGACAAGAGGTGCTAAAATAAAATGTGCTATTGTTCTGTCTGGAATACTGTTTTTCATATTAATATAATAAATCATCAGTTCCAGGCTAGAAGGGGGTGTATTTAATGCTTTGGCATTTTTGCATATTGCCTCTTTTTTGACTTTTTCTGAGTTCTTTCTGCTTATTGGGCAAGGATAAGAATGCAGTTGGCCCTTCCCATATTTGAAATGCAGCATCATTGGAGGTGGAGATAAGGCCAATGTTTTTAATATGCATTATGCATTAAGGCTTACTGTGGAGATTTCACTGTTGTTTCACATATAAAGGTAGTCTTTGGAATTTGAAGTCAGGGACTATTTTCACTGGTTAAATTATTTAGACAAGTCTCTTTTGTTCTCTGGTTGTATTGTTGGAAAGGGCCCTCACTATAAAGGAAACCAAAAATAAGAGTTACAATAGATTTCTTCCTGTGTAAGCAAAGCATGCAAGAACTGCAGGAACTGAAGGATTCAATATGTTTATAAGGTTATGGATTAAGACTTTGGGGGCAGGATATTTTGTATACCAAGCAGCCATACTTCATAAAGAATAAGGAGCGTATGCTAAAAATGGAGAGAATTGATTTTAATTAAAAATTCATGAAAACTTCTGTAGAATTACTATAATTTTAATATTGGTTAGTTGTAATAAATGCACATCCACTGATGCTTGATTAAGTAACCTTTTCCCAACCTGATGTCATCGAGCTGTGTTACGTTACAATTTGGGTCATACCTCCTATAATTTGTATTTGAGAAAGGTTAAACCAAGTTTTTAACTACTGCTGCTTGCTAGTGATTTAAAGGTCCTTAAATATCCTTTGGGCATTTCACTGGTTATTTACATGTTACTGATTATTTACTTACAGTATCTTTTTTTACTACAGGAATGGGTTGGACAAGTTGAAATAAGTGCCCTTTCTCTTATGTTCAAGTAAGAAACATTTCTTTAAGGTTCAAAAGAATAATGCTCAACCAATATAATGCATGTTTTTAAATGTGGCAGTTTTTAGAAAAATACAAACAAATTGATCAATTTTATTTTATGGGGTGGAATAATCTGTTTCATTCAGGACCCTCTAAAGTTGTCATGCAACCACCTTCTCTATCACCTCTATCAAATTGTCCAGACAGGTGGGATCAAGATATATTTTTTGAGGACAAAGCCTCCTTAAAAGGTCCCCAGAAATATCCCGTCCTGCAGTGAAAAATTTATCACTGCCTGGATCCATCTGGCTGTCATCCACTTGGAGGCTTCCACCTAACAGAAGGAATAGGAATCTTAACTGATAGATAGTTGCACTGACAGCATTGAAGACTGTTTCCACTTCATCAGGTCCAACAGGATGAAGCTTTTCCCCAATAACTGGCTAAGATCTTTCCCCAGGCATCTCAAATAGACCTGCACCATGCATGGATTCCAAGTGAATCCAATGACTTTGTCCATCAGTTTTCAATAATTTCTGCTGCATGACCCTGAAAATGGTCACTTCAGACTATCTTTAGGGGCTCTTCTGTCCCAAGGGGGATTGGGTAATCCTGAACAGGGTCACTGGATAACACTCTGTAGGTGCAATAAGGGCAGAGAAATAATGGTATTTTGCCACTCTTAACTGCCATCTGGTAGGTCTTAATAGCAGCTCTTAAGTTGTGTTCAGGTGGATTCATCCCTTTTTTCCTTCAGCAGCAGTCTAGGTGTCTCTTTGCTCTTTTCAGAACCTATAACTCTGGTGTGAACCCCAGGGAGAGTCAAGCAGTGGGTCAAGAGAGGATGCCTAGGAGCTATCCTGTCCAAAGTCTCAGCTGCTCTTTGGTTCCAGGACATAACCAGAGCTTTGGCAGGATTCTGTAGTAAACCCCCAGGGATATCCACCAGTTCCCTCTGGAATCCATTTGGGTCCATCAGTTGCTGGGGACATACTGCTCAAGTGGGTCCAGGTGGGCAGCATAAGAGAGTCTCAAGGACACCAGGGCATGATCTCACCATGAAAGGGAGGGAATAGTGATAGATTCCCCCATCAGATCACATTGCCAATGATCTGACAAAAAGATCATATCTGGTGTGTGACCACTGCCTCGAGTCAGACCCAAGATGGGATAGGCCCACAGTGGCCATGAACTTGGGCCGCTTCTAAGGCCAAACCCAGGAATGATAGGTTGAAGTCTCCAGGATCATAAGCCTGTGGAACTCCTCTGCCAGCTCTGAGGTGGCCTTCAGCTGTTTAGACAGGGAGGCTGCTATAAAGCAGGGAAGCTGGTACAACAGCACCAATTCCAACTGATCCTAGCTTCAGAAACAGGGTTTCACAACCAGAAACTTGGGGAGCAAGGCCAGAACATAGGAATAAGGGAAGAATCATATCAACAAACTTTTTCCTAGTACAAACGCTACTAGAGTTGATTATTTTTTATTAGACTGCTCAAATATATAAGCTAATAACATTGCCAGGAAATACAGATGCATGTATACAGTAAAACCAAAATGGTGTATATAACATTATGTTTAAGGAAGAAATCAGAGAACTTGAGGCATAGCAAGCATTGTGTAAAGGCAGAAAATAGAGTATTGTGTGTGATTAGTGCAGCTAGGCTTATTCATGGCTTCTTGAGGATTTATCATCATATTCAGTAGGTCTTTTGGGGAAGTTTGCAGAATAAGCTTAGCAAGGGCATTACTGTGCTAAACAGCCAAAGAACCGTATTTATCTTCTGGCTCTTAATTGACAATTTTAAGACAGACATGGAAGTATTAGAAGCAGATTTGGGAGAAACTTTGGTACTGAGTGAGGAGTGGAGAGAATATCAGGTTCTGTTAAGCCAGTGGTTCTCAACCTGTGGGTCGGGACCCCATTTGGGGTCAAACGACCATTTCATGGGGGTCGCCAAACCATGCTGTCCGCCATTTTTTCCCTTTTCCCTAGCTGTCCTACTCCCTCTTATAGGTGGCCACACCCACTTGGGGGTCACCACAACATGGGGAACTGTATTATGGGGTCACGGCATTAGAAAGGTTGAGAACCACTGTGTTAAGCAGTCCTATTCCATCTAATAGCCATTGCCAATTCCTGGTGCTTGACCTGAGTTTTGCAGTTAATACTTATCTGTTGCCATTGCAGAATTCACAAGATATTTTTCCTTAATTACATATATTTATTAAACAAAGATTCATACACATTTTCTGTCAAGATCAGTCTATGCTATTTTTATTTATTATCCATTTCATAATGAAACTTGTGTATTTATAGATGGTTTTTCCCTTTATACATTTTCTAGAAAAGATTTTATAATATATCAGGAACCAAACTACACTCCTTCTTATGTAACCGAAAATGGGTTTCCCGACAAGGTAAGATGAGTCCTACTGTAATAGATCTTGCTACTCATGTAATTTGAAGAATTGTGAGGTTTTGCAGAAGTGATAATAGGAAGTACTGTGCTAGTCTTTAATTTGTCTGTGTAAATTTGCTAGCTATTATATCTTAGCTATTCTTATGTTCCTTTTTAGATATTGCTGTGTTTTTCAAATAGCAATCACTATGATATTGTCTATCCTATAGACTACACAATCAAGGCTGCTCTTTGTCAGTGTAAGTATTAATATGATATACCAACTTGAGATGTGATCACAGTGTGGGATCAGAGGGAACCCATCACATATTTCCATGTTTCTGTATCGTGGGGTGGCTATTTTAATAGGCAAAAATATAACCAAAAGGTAAATGCTGGCAGAGAGGGCCTACTGCAGATCCCGTTTGTCAAAGAACGCTGACTATTGGGATCCAGAAGAAGTGCCGTCCCTGCCTAGCTCCTACCCTCTGGAACATTCCACCCTCCAAGGTGAGATCTACTTCCACATTTCTATCCGGTAAGAGCCTGAAGACCTGGCTCTGCCAGTTGGCCTGTGGACCCAATGGAGGAGTTTCACACTGGAGGTGGCTGTTGGATCAATGGCAAACTCCACTTTGCCCCTTGCTCCCTGCTTCCCCACCCATCTACCTTTCATTCTCATGTCACTGCATTATTGTTTTCTTTTTCATTGTTTATTCTACTGTTTTATTATTTTATTACTGTTATGTTTACACTTCTTTTCATTTCTCTTTTTTTATTCTTGTAAGCCGCCTAGAGTAGCACCATAGTGAGATAGGTGACAAATAAATTTAACAAAGTAAACAAAAAATAAATAAACTTATTTTCTGTAAACTAACACAACAAATGATGAAAAACAAGTGAATTGGATGCACTAATAGCCCTTGTGGTAGGTATCCATAAAACGTATTAAGATGAATTTCTGCATTTGAGTTATCCATCCTAAGTTATACAGTGAGGGGAAAAATTATTTGATCTCTTGCTGATTTTGTACATTTGCCTACTGACAAAGAAATGATCCATTTATAATTGTAATGGTAGGTTTATTTTAACAGTGAGAGACAGAATAAAAGCAAAAAAAAAAAAAAAAATCCAGAAAAACACAGTTCAAAAAAGTTATAAATTGATTTGCATTTTAATGAGTTTGGGATATAAGTTTGGAGCTGAAGAACTCTCTGAAAAATTCCATTTCTCCATTATCTTGCATACTAGGTCCTTCAAAAAGTGCTCCAGGAAATGATGTATGATAGGGGAAATGGAAATGGAAACTTGTGGAACAGCTTTAGATCAGAGTTCCCCAACTTTTCCAGCTCCACGGACCAGCAGGGGGTGGTGGAAGGATGATTCTGTGTGAGTGGTGGGTGCATATGCCCTCAGCTTGCACATATTTCCGCAGCTCACACAAATGGAGTGTGCACATATGTGCTTCCCACTGCTCATGCAAGTGGGGATGCGCACATGAAGGCACTCGCTTATCCACCAACTCCGCACTCCAGTTCCAAATGACTCAAGGCCCAGTAATGAGCCGCGACCTGTGCTGGGGACCCCTGCTTCAGATGAACAGGATATGAAACTCATATTTTGAATATTTGATCTGATACCCCGGGGGGTCTCAAATCTGACGCTACAACCATAAATTATTTTGCTTGCTTGGAAATGAAAAGTCCTGAAGATAGGCTGAGGTTTATCAAAATAATTGAGGTTAATATTTGTATTAACCAAAGCATTTGGTTAACACCCTTGAGTGACTTATGGACAGAAAATTGCATGTACCGTAAATCAAAATAAGAATAATTTTTCCCTATTACATCTAAATGCTATCCAATAGTTATGGATTTCTTAACAGGATACATGTATAAGTCTAATTGCTTTCCCAAATCACTGCTGCAATAATATTTGAAGAATGCTGGCTGCTTAACCTCTGGAAAATTATACTTGCTGTCTAACTTTAAAATGTTCTCAATTTTGTCATCAGTCCCTTTTGGAGCTTTTTTTAAAATTTTAACTTATTTATGCTAAAATATTTTTGTGATAAATGCTTATTGGTATTTGTTTTGTGTCTTAACTAGCTATTTTGTATGAATTGCTATACGAAAAAGTATTTGACGTTGATGTGAATAAAGTTTTTGAAGAACTGAGCCATGGTGATTTGATTAAGAATGGCAGAGGGAACACCAAAGAATCTGATTCGGAGGGTGAAGATCCAGAGTAAGTAAGCCTGTGTGTTTAAAGTTAACAATGGTAGGTCAGATACAACTTATTCTACCATTATAGAGAGAATAATGTACAGAAAAGCAAAACGGTATGCGGAATGTTTTTCTCGAAACTACACACATTATCATGTTTACTGAGTATTATGGGAATTTCACTTCAAAGAAATCTGTCTGATGTCAGATTGAGGAAGAGCATTGTATATACATCAGCTAAATAATATGACTAAATTGTTACAGAAATCAATTTTGGTCAAAGGAAAGGATGAGGTATAGGGGATTAATTCTCCGTTCTTATAATACTTGTGCTTTGTATGGTTCTTTAGGACCTTATTTCACTCTATTAATCAACAAAGGATACAATCTTATATCCTTCTTTCAGTCAGCCTGTGTGTCTCCATCAACCATAGTTCTTGACAACTTGATAGATTGCATATGTAGAAAGTATATGTAAGATCATATACATACTAAACATAAAATTTTTGATTCAGAACCACACTTTGCATTGTTCTGGCAACAAGTACATTTTGATTTAAAAACCCAGTTACTGGTGCAAAATACCACTCTCAACTTTATATCATAATGAAATTAGAAATTGTGTCCTTGGCTCAGAGGGTGAGGCAGGAGCTCTGATATTTCCCATCAATAGTATTGTAGAGGGCATTTGAATTAATAGTTAAGCTCTTGCACAGTGATGTTCAGTATGGCCAGAATTTTAATAGTTTGCAAATAAGAAATAGGTTGCTGCTTCATTTTAAAACAGGGTGCTACTGAAGATGTTGAACTACAAGCTAATCAATTGCCTTTTAGTTTTACTGACACCATAGGCCTTTGTTGCCCTGTTAACACATGCATAGGATATAATCTTAAAGCTAGACTTACAGCTAGCTTTTTCTCACTTGCTGTCTTCCAAATGTGTTGGAATTTCAAATGTGTTGAGTGTGCGACTCTCAGAAGTCACATATAAAGATTGCAGTTTAGGAAGATAACATGAGAATTTTTTGCCTGTTTGTTTTAATTTCCAGTATCTCTTCTGTTGGCATCAGTTTAATACAGAAAAGCATTACAGATGAACTTGTGAGCTGGATAGGGTTAAAAATTCTCACCCCCTGAGATTGTGGCTGGTTCCAACCCTGTTGGCCTTCTGGAAGGCCCTCAAAACATGAATTTGGAATGATAAGAGTGGGGCCTGTTAGATGTTTATATGATAATTAACTGAGGCACTCTCTGTATGATTTTGTCTTGTTTTAAATTGTGTTTTTAAATTTTATATATATAAACATCATGATGTTAAGGGTAGATGTCAGAATGGTGGAGAAGGGGAGAGCCATAAACTCACAGAGAGTTCAAAGGAAGGGAGAAGGGGGAGACGACTTAGTGGTGGGGATGACATCTCGAGTTGGAATAAGTTCGAGGATCCTCCTAAACCACGGATATGGATGAGTGGAGAGTCGGAGGCTTGCTTAAACTCTGATGAGGGACGCGTGATACAAGTAGATGAGTCACTCAATCATGCAGCAATTACAGGGAATGCTATGATTGGCCGACCTGGACCTATTACACGGTCCAGGAGTCGAGCGCAGGCGTCAACTTATATATAAATGTTCACTCCCATTGATTTGTGTACGCCCTGATGAAGTTGGCAGGAGCCAACGAAAGCTAGGTTGCTAATTTTTTAAAACTTTTAATGTTTTTATTTAAAACTTCTGTTTTATATTAAAACTTTTAATGTTTTAACTTTTCCTGGTGAAAAAGGTGATAAAATAAATAATTGCTGAATTTTACCACAAAGTCAGCAACACTTAAGATGGCCAGTGGGGTTGGGGGGGCATAATTGATGGTATGGGGACCATATATGAACTGCTGAGATGAACCATTGAGGTGCAATGGTTTGCTGTCCCTGTCCAAAATAATTTTTAAGTTTAATATTAAACTGGTTGTGTATATGTTTAATTTGATCACAGTGGCTTAGTACTGGCTTCATAGAATATCATTCCGTTGAAGCTGCTCAGAGTGAAATGCACTGTATCCCTGCGCTCCTCAGAGTTTATTTCTTTCATAAGAGTAAACACTAATAATGGTTGTTTATATGAAAACAGAGTTCTTCCTTGATTTTGAAATGTTTTTGTTGTATATCTTTTCTTTTGTCCAGAAGTGAAAGGGCTGTAACAAGTTATACAAACGGCAAGAAGGTATTTTATTTCAATCTCTTTACCTATTTATTCAATGTCTATGGCTGTTCCTCTTATATAGTGTGACTCTGGGTGATTATATTAACTTGTTGAATTTTTGCAATCGTATCTTGGAATCAAAGTTGCTACTATCTTGTCTTCTAGGACAGGGGTAGGCAACCTTGGCTTTTTTTATGACTCGTGGACTTCAACTCCCAGAATTCCTGAGCCAGCCCTGCTGGCTCAGGAATTCTGGGAGTTGAAGTCCACGAGTCATAAAAGAGCCAAGGTTGCCTACCCCTGTTCTAGAAGAATTTACTTGGTATGGTCTTAATATCTTTAGTAGGTGAAAGAGAGCTAGTACCCCAGAGCCCATGGGCCTTACTGGCAAGTAAAAATAAAATAAATTCTGTAGTTTCATCTTCTGGTCATACAGTGTTGTGTGTGACTTAGGAAAGAAACTCCACTCCTTTGGTAGACCCATCTTAACAAGGTATAGAGAAAGAGCAGATGGTAAAAATTCCTTTTTAAAAGTATTCATATATAAAATATTCAGTGCCTGAGAGAGAAAAAAATGAATTTTTTTAAAGTCAATATCTGAAGATGATCTCCTATAGAGAAATTATAAAGGGCAGTATATGATTCAGAGAATATCATAAGAAAGATCTGCTATTAATATAAAAACATCTTGGAATTCTTTATCTGGGAAGTAGATAAGTATAATCTTGTGAATGTAGGAAGGCATCAAAGCAAGAATGTACAAATATCCACTCAATTTAATGACTACTCAGTCAGTGACTGTTCTAATTTTTGACGACATGGAACAAGTGGAACATATGACTGGTCCCTGAAGTTCCAACTTGTGCACACAATCGTGATCTGGATGCTTAGCAATCAGCCTGAATCTCCAATCCTTGCAGCATCCCGTGGTCATGGGAACATGATTTGCAACCTTCCCTGCTGAGCTTCCCATAAGCAAAGTAAATGGGGAATCTGGCAGGAAGTTTTAAGTCATGACCATGTCATGTTTTACTTAATGATCTGTGTAGTCCACATTTAAAGATGATAATGGGGGACTCCTGGAACTGCCACTGCTAAGTAGCATGGTCATGTGACATCATGCTTTACAACTGCATCAGTGACAGAAATTGCGGTCCATCATTAAGTGAGGACTAAATATAATACATTGCAGCTGATGCTATTACTGTCAAAGATTTAAAGAGTGAAACTTAACATTAAAAGGTTGTACTAATCTATAAAGTGGTAGAAACAGCACTTTAGATTAAAGGGAAGGCAAGAGAAGCTTAATCCCATTGAAATTAATGAGAGTAAAGCCCATACAGTAATTATGTTTTAAGGCTGGATTTCTCAACAAACTCCTATTACAGTGAAGAAGACATTCAATATGATGGAACTTCTGAATTAACACATAAAGGATCATGCTGCAAGTTGCTTTGAGCATTTGCTGCATGCAAATTTTTCTTTATATGCCTTTCAGGAAAAATTAACTTACCCAGATGTAATCAGAAAAGAAAATATTGAAGTTGCTAATCATTGATATCTTGTGAGTTATGCAGTTGATAACCTTTGCATTACATGTTTATCAACTCAGAAATATAAGGCTATTGCATTTTTAACAATTATCCTGAATAATATTTAGAAATTTTTACATGAAGTTCTTATTTTGTATATAAGTTTGTAAAGTTTTGATTTAATAATCAATATGCTATTGCTTGAATTTGTTTCAAATTCTTTTTATATCCTGTATAGAATTGTTCACTTGTTTTTCTAAGTATTCTTTATCCTTTTGCACAATAGCTTCATAAACATGGGAAATCTCACAATGTTATGAGTTTGCCTGCAAAGGTTCTTCGTTCCCTTAATCCATTAGTTTACCGAAATGTTGAATATGAAGTCTGGCGGCAGTCAAAAATAGGTAAGGACTAATGGCTAAATTCATTTACTCTGGGAAGTAGGCAGAGGAAGCTGAGTATCTTTTTGTGCCTACCTAAGAGTATAATATAATGCATTTTCTTTTTGTGCTTGCAGATCAGCAAAAACAAGATTTTTCTATTGCTGCTGGCATGCAGTATTCAGTTGGAGATAAATGTAAAGTAGGTGTCATTACATCTGAGTAACTCTGCTTAACAGCTCTTTCATTTTTCAGTATCATGCATAGTGTTTCACTTAGATTACCATCCCCCCCCCCCATCAGGAATATATGTTTTAAGAGCAGCTTTGCAAGGCAGAAATGTGTCTGGAGCAAGCATGATGATATAGGGATAGGAGAATTTGCTGACTTAAATTTGCACTGACTCTGTAGGATGAAATGTTGATAAGCTTATTGTTTATTTCATTGTGCTACTTTGGCTTATTATCTTGTGCTCCGTTTCTGATTCAGCCATTTGTTTATTCATTTTCTCACTTTGCCTGGGTGATAACTCCCAGTGCCCCCAGGTATAGTGGCTGTGGAGCATCTGAAGCATTCTGTAGTTTCTGCTCATTGTCTTGCTGCTTCTTGTACATTTGGATTAAATTAGTGATTAGTTTCAAGCAAAGTATAGTTTTCCAGCATAGGTATAACAGCAAATGTTGGTCTGTGTTGACACGGAGCAACTATTTTATTTTAATATTTTATTTTAATTAATATTGATTTTGTATCTCATCTTTCTGTCTTTAAAATTCAGGGCTATGTACAACAATAGTACAAAGAATAATAATATGAACAATGAAATTATATAACTGAAATAATTAGCAGTCTTTAAAACAATTCTACATTATAATCTTGGTGAATGAGGTGCACTTTTGCTATTTTTTTAAATACTGAAGAAATGGGAATCAAACACACCCTTTCAAAAATGCACATTCCCTAGGCTGGGGCCACACAGAAGGTCCCTTTTTCATGTACCTACTAGCCAAGCTTCTGGCAATAAGAACATTTTCAGAAGGGCTTCTCAGGTAATCACATCTTCAGTTACTTAAATTGTGCTTGGTAGGGAACTGCAATTGCCTTAAAATCAGAAAAATCTATTGGGTCAAAGAAGGTTTTTGTTTTTTCAATAGAGGCCCTATGGATTGTGGAATAAAGAATGGCAGATGCCATGTGTTTGGCTCAGTTTCAACTTACTCTATGACAAACATGGTACTAAAAAGGTTACCAATATTTTTGGCAGCTTCTGAAAGACTTTCTGTATCTGGTACAAGAGTTAACTTACAATTATCATGACATGTATTCATTGTTAGCTTTTTTTTAAAGAATTGCTATTCATTGACACAACTTGTGGCAATTGATTCCAGAATTTAAAGTGTTATATCACTAAGGAAATACTTTATTTAATCTCTCCTGAATTTCTCACCGTTGTTTATCATTGAATTACCTGTATTGCACTAAAATTAGAGGGGATTAAAAAACCCTTCCTAACTTATAAACCTCTTCCCTGTATTTCCCTTTGAATATAATTTATTTTAATTACTCCATAGGTATATTTAGATCACAATGGAAGGTATTATAATGCTCACATTCAAGAAGTCCAGTCTGCAGATGGACCTGTTATTGTTTTTGTGGAAGAACTTGGTGTTAAGTAAGTAACCTTAGATAATGGTGGAATAGTAAATACTGTGGAATAGCCTAATTTGTGAAGTAATAGACTCTCTTACTTCACATATTAGAAGCATTTAAGGATGTCAGACATAAATTTTTGATGACCACACAAGATCCCCTCCAACTCTGTAATATATCAATGTAATGTTGTAAACCAGTGGTGGCGAACCGTCCAGCACAAAGGAGGCGAAGTGGCCAACTATCAAGCTCAAGTAGAGGTGGTAGAACAGAGGTCATCAACCATTGTCGATTGGTGGACTGAAAGAAAAGGGAGGGGGAAGTATTTTACATGCGTGCATGCACGCATGGTGGCACGAGCACACACGTGCTGCAAATGGGGCAGAGCTAGTGCCTGCGTGATATTCGCTAGCCCTGCCCCATTCTTGTGTGGTGCAGTGCCTTGTATCTGCACTCCACGGTGTGGTAGTGGCCATTTTTGCGCCTTGCAGCACAATGGCTCATTTTTGTGTCCCTGGTTTTTGCATGCCAGAGGCGGCACTCAGAGGCACCTCCCTCCTCCCCTGAGGGTGCCACAATGTTGATGCAGCCCTGGCACTTTGCGATATATAAGTGAGTTTTGGGTTGCGGTTATCTGGCTGGCAAAATATTAATGAAAGATTAACAGATAATGACATTTGTAAGTGGTGCATTAAAAAGGCAGGATGGAAATTTGTAGATAAATAATAAATATTTAGTGCTAGAGTGTTTTGAATTAGAGATTCTTGAAAGGACTATCTATTTTTGAGGTATTGTGTCATTTCCATTAAATAACCCTCTAATATTTAAGTAATTCCCAAAATTACTAAATGTATATTCTCTTAGAAGTAAATACAGTGTTTTGGTAATTGCATGTGATAGTAAATATTTATTATGCAACTATATGTTAGATATTAAAATGTTAGATATTAAAATGAATAATTACATTGATGATGTTCAGAAAAATACTTTTTATGCAAAATTATTGGGAAATTTTAGCAATTTATTTAGTAGTTCTTTTATATCGCTAACAAAATTGAATTGCATTTACTGGGGCAGATATAAAACTCCAGTCTAGCAGGAAATGATGAAACGATGTTGAAAAGTAGTGGTTAAGGCATCAGGAACCAGAAGACTTGCCTTAGGCATGAAAGCCAGTTGAGTTATTTTGGACCATTTACTTTCTCTCAATTCACTTCAACTCACAGGATTGTTGTGGGAAAATAGGAAGATGAAAGAGTATTAGATATGTTCACCACCTTGAGTTATTTTTAAAAACAATAAGAGTATAGTAAAATGTATTAAGTAAAATAAATTGTAAAATTATTAAATGTGAAAAACTATTAAATCTGTTAAAAACCAAAACAAAACTTTTGTTGTTTTTAAAGCCAACAAAAGTTGGAGCCAACCAATTTTGGAGGGAGGGCATGGCATTTCAGAAAATAGCAGAGATTGCTTATCTTACTGGAATGTATTTCAGTTACTCAAGTTAAGTAAAAGCATCACTAGATATAACTCTGTGATTCTTGCAGTTAATAATAGCAATGCAATACTGGAAAGAAGTATAGTGAAACACAGGAGAGGAATGGGATAACCTTTTGCCTATTTGACAGAAACACAAATTCTGTTTAAAATGCACAGTTTTAATTCTCGATCATCTTATTATTCCTTACATCATTTCCTTTATCTTAAAGTATTAAAATAATACCATGAGCAACGTGATGATTTACTTTTTTGATTTATATCCCACCTTTCATTCAGGTATTCAAGATGGCAAATATAGCATTCCCTCTTCCCAGTTTTCTTCCACAAGAACAACCCTGTTGTGTAACTAAGCATGTATTAGAAGTTGGGTCTCTTGTTCCTAATCTAGTCCCTTAACCACTATGCCTCTATTGTGCTATAGAAATATAAATTAAACTTCCACACACACATATACAGAAATTAAAAACTCTGTTCCATAATTACGTATAGGTTCTGTTGGCAGCCTGTTTGGTTTTACTAATGCCTTCAATGCAGTGAAACTACTGTACTACAGAGACTTTGTTTCTTCTTTCTTCCACCAGGCATTCAGTACTGCTAAGAAACCTTAAGCCTCTTCCACTGGCAACTCCTTTGGAAACCTGGAGCACAGTACCAGGGAAGAAAATTAAAAAAACAACTTCGGTGCATGGACAAAATGTTCAGACTGGTATGAGTTTTTAACTTGAATTATACTGACTTGATTGCTGATCTGTTTTGGATTAACTGATAAAAAATATGTCTTCCAGATACAGATTGCAGAGGATCCAAAAATTCAAACAAGCTAATAAAAACTACATCAGTTCTGCCTCCTCGAATGCAAACCACAAGACAGCATCACTTGCCCAGTTTGGGGATGTCTTCTCAACAATCTTCTGCTCATCACAAAACGCAAGGCAGAAATCCTCTGCAAGCTGTTAGGTGACTAATATCTCACGCTCTTTGGCTACAACTTGACATTTTAAAGAAGAGTTACTAATGGCCCTTTCTTTGCTTTATTTCATTTCATTTTGGTTCAGTTTGAATTTCTTTTTCAAAATACTTAAGAGTGAAGATAGAAAAGAAAAATAATTATTTACAAAATGTAAAAATTACATAGGAAATTATAAAATACCAAGACAAGAGAAAATATTCCTCTACTATTTTACTAATAAATTAAAGCTGATGTAATCATATCTCAGTTTGACTCTTTAAAGACTGTTATTAAAGTCCTAAGTTAACAAAACCAGCCAGAATGATAGGACTTACTAGAATAATGAGAAAAAACAAGAATTTCTAGCTAACGTGAAGAAAAATTGAAGTAACCAAAGTTACTTGTCTGAAGTAAGTGTATGACATGTAGGAGATAAGCAGGCAGAACTGGAAGGCGGGGTTAAATGTGTCATCAGTTTGGAATAATTGCACAGCTACAAGAGACCCAAGGCCAGTCCCTGCCATGAATTCCGTTGATCCTGATCTAGTGTCACTTCAGCTTGGACTGTTAATTGACCCAATTCTTGTTTATAGGTAGCAGTAAACTCCTCAGTGCTTTAAATTCAGTGAGTGTTTCTGGTTCTTTGCACCTGACAGACATCAGACAGAATCTAAAGACTGAAGACATTTTGTTAAGAGAAACCTAAACTTGCATTATGCAAAATTGTATGGGTGGGTCCTCAATAATTGGAACTCAATATCTGTTGCTAAGTAATGCGGTTATAAAGTGTAATGTCACGTGACCCCATAGATTAGTAATGGCACTCCTTGTTGCCTTTGTTAAGGGACGATTGTGAGTAATTAAGGGAGTCTCAGACGCCTTTGCTGCCAGGAGGGGGAGAACACAGTTTTGATACATTGATGTACTTTTTGATAGGATTATTCTCCTTAGATTTTCTGTTGAGAAACTAAATGCTTTTAAAGCAAGGCATAATTCAGAATATTAGATTTACCCCTTAAATTAGCAGAAGTTTAAACACAGGTTTTAACAGTAACATTTTTGCTTTAAATGAAGATATGTTTCCAGTGATAAAAAGTTTTAGATTAATTTGAAAGATAGGATTAACTTTTAATCCAGGAATTTGGCAGGTCAAAGCAATCAACATCAGATGAAGCATCATTTGGCTACCACACATTGTATATGCAGTGCCAGAGTACCAGTTTCTAAAAACAAGACCAAATGAATATCTGAAGTGCCATAAAAGGGGTGTGATGGCTTAGCAATTAAAGATGTTGAACTTGTCAGCTGAAAAGATGACAGCCAGGGTTCGAGACCCGAATTCCACACGACCATGTGAGCTCCAATTACTTGCCCCAGCTCCTCCCAAACTAGTATTTGAAAACATGCAAATGCGAGTAGATAAATAGGTACCACTTCAGTGGGAAGGTAACAGTGTTCCGTGCACTTTTGCATATGGACATGCTGGCTACATGGCCATGAACGTGTCTTTGGACAATGCTGGCTCCCTCAGCTAAGAAATGAAGATGAGCACCACCTCCTAGAGTCAGACACGACTGGACAAAGGAAATCTTTACTACTTTTTAGAAGGGTGATGAAACTGTTGCAGTTTTAATAGATGTAATTTCCCCCCTCCCCCAGAAAAACAGATTGCGAGACAGTGCAAGAATTGGACCACCCAAACAAGAATTGTAATGCTGGTCTTTCTCCAGAGGAACATAAAGAGAAAGAAGCTGTAAATGAAGTTAATTCACTTTATGAAATTCAGTTCCAGGATAAAGAAGCTTTCCCTGCACTTTTGGTATGTGTGCTGGGTTTGTCATTGGACTGTTTGTATTCTGGATTACAGTACATTATTATTCCGTTCCAGTGAATAATGAAAGAGAATTTGTCTTTCTCACAACTGAAATATTACCTGATATGTTTTGCTTTGCCAGTTGAATCTGTTATGTACTACGGCACTTGAATAGTACAGACATTCTGCACCAATCCCAAGATGTCTAATAAGATAAACCAAATTCTAAAATGTTTTCTTTTCAGAACATGGGAATCCTTCAGACAATGTTGGCACCAGCATCCAGCTTAATTAGGTACATATTGGAGGCCAAGTGCACCTAAGAGCTGCACAGTTTATGTAACTTAGCTTACGTAACTATAGTGAACAGCTCTCCCATATTAATGACTTTAGACTCATCTCTAATATCCATGTTAAGGCTTGGTGCCATTATTGACAGCAGTGCAAATTGAGATATCAGTTTGATAACCAGACAAATAAGTGAGAAGGGTTGCTAACAACAATACACACTTTGTGTTCCTAAAACTATAAATAGTTTTTAGATATTAGATATTATCATTTTTTTCTCAGTTAAGAAACACAAAAGAGAAGCAGCCATCCAAGGAATACATACGCTAATATGTTCCACTGTAGGGGCAAAGAAAAATTTTACACTATAATATTAGTAATTCACAAGACTCATCCGATCCATTAATTTGTGCAGATACTAGTTTTCAGATATTTATTACAATGAAGTTAAGTATAGTGAAGGAGCATAGCCACAACTTGATCTTCCTGGTTTTGTTCATAGGCTGGACACGTTCAGTATTTCACGGTATTTCTCTTTTCCAGTAGTATTTTCTTTAATAAATAGTATTTCCTCATGTTCCTGAATCTGGTTTTGTGATGCAGAATGTTTGCTAGGCTAAGGAAGAAAAGTACTTAAAATTATAGCTCTTTTACCATTGTGCTAATAATTAGACTTTGAGATTATATATTCAGAACAGGAAAAATTGTTTGGATTGGTACTCAAGACCAGGAAGTTCAAAAGGAACAGTTAGTCATTTTGTTGCTGAGAGTGTGTGTTTAATAATTCATTCTCAGTTTAGGGAAGATTACCTGACTTGGAGTTTAACTGCATACTAGATGACCCATCATTTCTTGGGTCATTATTTCAAAGATGTTTCCTTACCTAAACAGATAAACAGTGATTATGGGTAGGTAGTAGAGTAGTGGGAGTTAGAGCAAGTTCTGATTTTCTGCCGGCTTTCCTATTGATTTTGCTTGTGGGAAGCTGGCGGGGAGTATTGGAAACCATGATCGTGTGGCAGTGCTGTAGCAGCCACAACTTTGCCAATACAGCTGGTCTGAAAATCTGTGAAATTTCAATCCTATGGGAATAATGGGTCACAAATTTTGGAAGCATTCTTTAACTTATTCCATTTGAGATACCTTGATTCAAAGATTGTTGCCCTATGATGCACATTTTTGCCCATTGTAGGTGACAAACAGAAGAGTTATAATAATACATAAATTAAAGCAAGATAATTTTTAGGCCTACAATTCTTAGCACTATTATTAGAACACAAGGTCTGAGGTAACCTGTTATTTTCTTAAGAAAAAAAAAACAGTGAAGATAATTAATTTTGCTAAGATTATCTCATCTTACTGGGCAGCTTGGTAAAATTATTAAGGTTTTATATGAACATATTAACCTAAATTTTGAGTATAAGGACTTTGTGGCTCTTGTTTACCAGGACTTTCATATAAAATTAGGAGCTCCCTCAGTTCATATTTGATTCTTTCAGAATCCACCTGTGTCTCAAGTAGCTACACAGACTAATGAGACCTTTGCATGGCAAACACCTCAAGTTCCTAATGGGAGAAGAATCGGCAACATGAAGGAAGAACAGGTGACAAAAAATAAAGATGCAAAGGATGAGAAAGGTATGAACAAAAGCAGATATTGGGCTTTCTTTGGATTGACAACCAATATATTTTCATATTAAATATATTAATATATTGTTCAATAAAGGAGATAACCTATTAAAAGAATACTACAAACTGAAGGGTTTGGAGACCCGAAAATCTTGTTGTATTTTCAGACCATGGACGAATAAACCTATGCCAGTGGTGGCGAACCTATGGCACGTGTGCCAGAGGCAGCACCCAGAGCCTTCTCTGGGCATGCGCGTCATGCCCCAGAGATGGCAACCGTTCTCTTCAACCAGCCACCCGCTAACTCGCCGAGGTCCCATGTGGCCGGATGCATCCCAGCACCCATGAACTTGCTGGCCTCTGTGTGCGGGGGTCGATGGTGCCAGGCAGCAGCTGCCCCAGCCCCTGCCTCACCCTGCGACAATGGCACCGCCGCCCTATCTCGCCTTGCCTCATCTCAACCCACAGGACCAGCCTCCTGCCCGCCGTCCCACCCGCCAGACTCCATGGATCTCCCCCAACCCTGCCCAGGCTCCCACAGGCGTCCCTCCCCAGGAGCAACATCGAGCTGGCCACGCCCACCCATCTGCCATGGCCACTGTAGCCACGCCCACCAGGCGCCCCTGCCCACCCGGCACCCGGCGATACATAAGTGGGTTTTGGGTTGAAGTTTGGGCACTCGGTCTCTAAAAGGTTCGCCATCACTGGCCTATGCCATTCTAGATTATTAGATTTCAGGTTCCCATGTTATTGGTTATATTGGCTAGAGATGATACAGAAGTTCATAACATCTGAAAGTTGCAATACCTGCTTTCTGATATTTTGTGATTTCATTAATTTTGCTGCTTTCTTACACATTATAGCAGTGTCTAATCTTGAGCAGATTCTTGCAGATCAGAAGTTGGATCCCAGAATGTCTGTGGTAAGCATGGTGCACTGCGATGCATTCTGAGCATCTTTTTTTCTTTTATAAAATGGATACCATCAAATATCCTTTTTAATTTGCAGGACACTAAGAAGGATATAATTGCTGCAGATATATCACCTTCCTCAAGCAATGGAAATATTCATTCACTACCGATTGAGCAAGTAAGAGATGTATGTTTAACTTTATGTAGCCCTTTCAGAGGAAAGATTACATTAATTGCAGTTTGTGTCAAAACTTGAGTTTTAGACAAACTATTGAAATTCATATTCTTCTGTTGGAATCTTGAATACAATCCATTAAAAATATATTGCAAAAATCCTGTCAGAATTACTAGAATCTGTATAATGTAAATTGTTCACTAAAGATATGTGTCTTAACTAAGGATATTTAGTATGTCTAATAAAGGTTACCAAGTCCCACAACATCAGATGTCTGTCAACCTTGTATCTTTATTGGATTTCTGACATTTGACAAATTCAACACTGTTTAGTGTGAATGCCTTTGAAGTCAGTTAAGCAGAGCAACTGACCTGGTCTGCTCTCAGTTTGGTCTGAAAGCCAATTTATTATAGGTTTATATGATCACTTTGTTCAAGGATAGTAATACCGAAGCCTTTTCTCTTTCTCTCTCTCTCCCTCCCTCCCCCCTCTCTTTTTTTCTTTTTTTCCCAAGAAATTGACTGCATGTTGAAAAATATATTCTTCATTTAATTAAATAGAATTCTTTTTTTATATTTTTGGTGGGGACCAATGAAGAATGTGGGAAGGGAGAGAGAATATTAAGCTATTTCAGATTGAGTTGCCCTTATTAAAGATGGTAGGACTCTGTAATGTGTACTGTTAATTTGCCTTAAATTGTCTTGTAGTAAGGATGTTTTATATGCAACTGATCATGGAATGCAAACATTGCCAATGATGTTTTGCGTAAATTATACTTTGGCCCATGTTCCCTGCATAGTTCCAGGAAGGCAAGACTGGTTCAACTCAAGGGGACTGAGCAAAGAATTGGGCTATAAAATTGCAAAATTAATTTTCTGATTTTAAAACTGAATTAGATTGTTTTAATTTAAAATATATTAAAAATGATTAAAAGCATTAAAAGTCCATTTTTTTTACAGGAACCTTTATCAGGTATAAATGCTACCCCATCTCCAACTGTTCCTGAAATACATTTGCCTCCCACTGTGCCTTCTGTACCAGCTCTTACGCCCGCTTGGTCAAGTGAGTCAATATACTACGGATTAACAGGTTTGCAGGAGAAAAACTCTTTTAGTCCTAAACTGGTTTTTCAATAGACCATTCTTAGCACTTTTATACTAACCAATATTCAGTATTCAGAGGCCAGATTAAAGTAATGTCTGTTACTTTATGTGTGTGTGTCTATGTGTGCGTGTGTGTGTATAAATGTATAAGTATGTAAATCTGCTTGATATTGTGGTTTCTTATTCATTTACACACACACACACACATATCTGCATTTCAAATACATTCATAGCAGTATATAATAAAAGTAACTATATAATATAGAAATTATTATCATAAAGGCTATAATATTTCACAGTTGAAAAACCAAGTATCGCCCATGCTGTACTTCATTTCACCCTCTGCTCTGCAAACATTCTGATGTTTGGGGGCCTTCAGTAATGGTTTTGGTTGAATTTGTACTTTTCTCTGCCTGTCTTGGATAATTTGAGAATAGCAGCTGTTTTTTTTCCCAGTTGCTTAGATTTATGTTTGTTTGTGTTTTTCCTTGTTTATATTTTAGGTGTTCCGACCCAAATTCCTGTGTCCTCTGTGATGGCAACACCAACCATTGGACTAGATTCAACTCTGAGTCAGGCAACCTCCAATCCAGTTGCTGCCATTCCAGTAACACTCCAAGCAGTTAATCAGCCTTTAATACCTATGCCTCAAACACTGAATCTTTATCAGGATCCCTTGTACCCAGGATTCCCAATAAATGAAAAGGGGGAACGAGTTATTACTCCTCCATACTCCTTGTGTGGTACAGGAGAAGATCTACCAAATGGTAAGAGAGTTGTTCCTTCCTTATCAAATGAAGTGTGCGTGCGTGTGTGTGTGTAAGTGGTAACAGTAGTGGGAAATGCTGTATATTTAGTAGTAGTAGTTTCAACTGTTCAGTCATGTCCAACTCTTGACACTTGTATAGGCAAGTGCTCTCCATGCTATATATATAAAACTCCATAAAAGTGGAACAAGCATGAAGAGGATGGTTATTATATGAAGGAAGTTGTCTCGTGCAGTTATCTATTTTTACATTTTTAACGTAACTGTAGAAAAAAGCTAAATTTTCATTTGGTAATTGAAACAAGCTGGACAAAAGAATTCTGATCATAACTTAATTTCCTAAGTATTTATAAATAAGGGCTGCAGAGCAGTTAAATATGTTTATATTCCACTTCTAGCATTATATGATCAGCTTGATCTAGTAAACAACATACTTTACAAATGAAACCATGATAGACAATATGTGATCTGGAACCATTATGTATAGTATTAAGAAAATATATATTCTAGAGTTTGTGAAAGAAATCAAAGCAATTTCCATCAGTGATATGTACAAAATTGTTGCTATTTGTGAGTGCTTAACTCTTCATCTCTCCCACGTCTTTATTAAAAAACTCATAGAAACATAGATGATACTGTGATTATTATATATAATAGATTATTTTATTTTTGAAGAGCTGGGTTAATTAATTTTTTTCTATATTGTATTGGCAATAACACATAAACCAATATAACTGTAAAGCTTTAGAAATATGAACACATTTTGATTGCTGAATTTCTGTTTTAATTTATATACATAAATTGAACAATATTTTTGTTTCTTTTCATGAAGATAAAAATATACTCAGATTTTTCTTCAATCTTGGTGTAAAGGTAACTATCAACATTCTCTGTTTTGTAGAATTGTGCAAAAAGTTGAATGATTTTGAAAATATTGTTTAAAAACTGTAATATTAGAATAACTAGCCATATTTATTCTCACTATAAACCCAAGCTTATGAATTTAACTTAATACTCCCGCCTCCTATTTTTCCCACAACTCAATCAGTCAATTTCAACTTGTGTGAAAAAAAAAAGATATTGCAAAGTTGGAATTGATTGATTGAACTTTTTTGTCCCACCCAGTCTACTGTTACCACTGCAGCCATGCCCACTTAGTGGGCCACACCCACCCAATGGGCCACACCCACCTGGCACCCGACGATGCATAAGTGGGTTTTGGGTTGCAGTTTGGGCACTTGGTCTCTAAAAGGTTCGCCATCATTGGCTAAAAACATGTTAATAAAGTTAATGTCGGAAACTGGCTAATGTTATGCGAGCTTAGAGGGAGACCTCCAGAAAATATTAAGGTCTTATAGGCTAGAATGGAGAGTTTTTAAAAAAACATTTCAGCAGAAGGCAACAGCTTTCTTCTTCCTTATAGTCGTCAAGACTTCAAAGGGGTATTAATGAAACCAATTGGAGTCAAGCTTTAGTTTTACATTATCTTGAATATAGCATTGTCTACTGCTGTGAATTGTATAGAAACCTCATGACTTGGATCTCCTCAACATAGGCCCCATAGCTTTTCTGCAGCACGTGCTGTTGGATTTTTGATGCTTTTATGAAGAGTGTTGGTATATTTGTAACAAATATAAAGGGTACTAGTAATTATCTGAACATCTTCAGCCCTTAACAATTCCTTTATGCATGAAATAAAACAATGCAATAAAATGTAATAATTTATAAAATAATAGTCTGACCTAATCTACTTTTAAAATGTAATGAAAATTGTCTTTGTTGCATTTCTTCAGGCATACAGTTGTCCCATGTGGGCGCCGCACTCATATTTGTACCCTCTACATCAAGCTTACCTGAATGCCTGTAGAATGTACCCAAAGGTGCCAGTCACAATGTATTCTCATCATCCTTGGATGCAGGAGATACCTTTGACTCAGAATGAAAATGAACAAATAGATGGTCCATTCCATGAACCAAATGGCATCAGAATCAATGGACAAAGTCTGCAGACTGATACTATGTCTTCACCCATGCCCCTGTTTATACATGCTACCCAAGTGCCTGAAAGTCAAGGACTTGTCTGCGTAGAGTCTGAGAATCCAGCACAAGCATTACAGGCTGATTATGAGGAGTCCCTAGGAAGTAAAAATGTATTTCCACAACCTCCATTTGGGCAGAATCCATTTTTAGGTTCTGTACCACTTACATCAGTTTTCCCTCAATGTTGGTATGGATATCCTGTTCCAGGTTATATTGAAGATTCTGAATTGAGGCAAGTTGTGCCACCTGAGGCCAAGAGAGGTGATACAGTTTTGTCTGAGGAGGAAACTTCTTCAGTTCCAGTTGCTGAATGTGTCGAGCCACTTCAGAAAGCCAAGAGTGAAAGAAATCTCCAAGGCATACCTCTCCCTAAAACTGCCATCAAGAATGAATATAATATCCTAAATAAAACCTCAGCCCGAGTGCCTAAAGATCAGCAGACCTGTCCTGCTATCCTACCTACTACACAAACAAAATCTCTACTCCAAAACCCCCCTCCCACAGAAGCGCAGGACATCAGGAGACAAACATCAACTTCAAAATCTGAATTTAAAAATGTTCTTGGCCATAAAGAAAAGAGTAACAAGTCTAATGCATATATATCAGTAAGTGGGGAGGAAAGTAGAGGACCAAGCGCAAGGGAGGCAAGGGAAGAGAGCTCTGAAGATGAGCATGAAGTATCTGATATGCTTAGAAGTGGCCGATCAAAACAATTTTATAATCAGACTTGTGGTAGACGACCTAGAAGTGAAAGGAGCTATCTACCTGGGAGAGGAGGCTATCAGTATCCAAAAAATGAGGAACCATGGAAGGGGTCATCTACTGGAAATAGAGGGGAAAGCTCGCATTATCACCGCAATTTCAGAGGGCGGCCATATCGGAATGAGAGGAGGAGATCAAACATGGGAAATAGTGGGCTACATCGTGGGCTACAATTGTTTTAACTATCAAAATCTAGACATTCAACATACATATGAATGCTGAGATATATACTCAAGGCATATATTTCTGCTTTTGTTAAAGATCAGAAAATTCTTTTCGTTTTATCAAAGGTGTGGGGCCTTTCAGCAATTTAAGTGGTTAGGTATAACTTTTGGCAATTGATAAAAACTAATTTTGCTTTGTTTAATTTCTTACGACTAAATATTATTGTGTTTGAAACATAAAAAGTGTGTTTTTGTTTGAGTTTTATTTTTCCCATAAAGATTTAAGTTTGTGGTAGGGAAGAAAAAGCTATAGTGAAAAGTTACCATGGTTATTTCATACCTGATGGTAAAGAACAATGCAGCAAATACACTGTATAGCATAGCCTATGGCAGGGGTAGGCAACCTTGGCTCTTTTATGACTCGTGGACTTCAACTCCCAGAATTCCTGAGCCAGTCATGCTGGCTCAGGAATTCTCGGAACTGAAGTCCATGAGTCATAAAAGAACAAAGGTTGCCTACCCCTGGCCTATGGTATGTTGAGTCTGAGGACTCTCAAATCACTAGACTTATTTTTGATATGCTTCCAATCCAAAGCTTTTCATCTCAAAAAAACTTGTGAAACTTGAATGTGTGAGACTTCATTTTGCTTCATTTAAAATACCTTTTTTTTTTGCAATGACTATTTTTGTGTCTTAAGATGGTTTACTGTGTTTTATCCATAATGGTTGTGTGTGTGTGTGTGTGTGTGTGTGTACGTATTTCTTGAACTACTTAAAACAATCAAGAAACACCATATATCACGTGGGTAGTATACTCAGTTTGGTGATGAATTCTTCCAAGGAGTCCTAACGCAGGAATGACTATAATAATGCCTATGCAAAAATATGTATATAAGACAAAAGTAGATGCTGTGCATTTCCAAAATAATTTTACACAACTGTTACAAATGAACTTTTGAGATAGTTTTGCACTGAAAATTCTTTAAATGAACTGTGGAAGAGATGCACAAAATAGATTAAACAGCATTTGTCTTGTACTGTGGGTTATTGAGGCTTTTTTCTTTTGTTGTTGAACATGTTTGCATTGTTTTATAAAAAGTGTAATTAAAAAAAAACAATTTGGTTATTATAGAGTGAGATATCTAACTTCACACTGTCAATCTATGTGCTTTCCTTTGGTATTGCAAAATGTTGCAAACCTATACTTCATTTTTTTTATTCTGTAAAACCAATTTGTGTACAGCTGTCTCTGTGTATATGTAAAATGCGATTACTTTTACCATAACTTTTTTGATCAGAGGAATTGAGTGATACCTGGTAAATTCCCTTAATATACACATGTTGTAAAATTAAATAGTTGCCCTTTTTGATACAGATTTAAACTGTTGGCTTATGCATCTACTTCTGTGTACTATAAATACCAGAAGTGACTTAAGTTTTGGACTGAAACTAATTGAAAGTTAAACCTGCAGCTCAAATCACTGGTCCCTGAAACATAAGGAAATCTTAAATACCATTTTGTTAAAAAAAATTACCATTTGTAAAACAAAAAGTAATGAATACTAAGATTTTGTCTTTCATTAACTGAAATAATTTGTGCATTGAAAATTCAACTAACTTAGCTCTTCTGTCCTTTGTTCCAAAATAATACCATACCATTTTTTCCCTCCTCGGTACCCCTCTAAGGCAGAAGCTCCTATATATTCTAATCAATTGGTCTATTTCCCAGAAGTGCAAATAAGATGGATTAGGGAGTTCCCAATTCTTTGGGAAGAATCCACATGTATACATAGGATTACAGATAGAATGTGAAGCTTAGATAACACAGTTGCCTTTATGCTAATATAGTTTATATGCTTTCTTGAATTTTTCCTAACATTGATAATAGCCTTCCTTTACTTTCATCACAGCACTTCACCCAAAATACAGCTTATTTGAGGAAGCCAGTGGTGTGGCAACTATAAAAAAGGGGATATTTCCATTATAAACTATCAACATTTTGATCCTGTCAGCTTATGTTCTGTTAAAAAAAAATGTACAGGTAATCCCCGAGTTACAAGGATTCACTTAGTGCCCATTCAAAGTTACACGATAGGCACACTTTAGTGTTTACGACCAAGTCCCAGAATTACAAATGATGTAGCGCCATGGCAGTTGTTTGCCCTTACGAATGACTGCAACATTCACCCTATTTCCACCCCCCCCCCCGATGCTTCCCCACTCAGTTCCTGCCATGCCGGACTTACCTTTCAAAGATCTGTCTCCTCTGCTGCAGTTTCTTTGCCTTTGATGGAGGAGAGTCGACTTGGAAATGCTTTTGGTGCGGAGAGTTCTTGGGGCTGTGATCTCATGTGACTTCAGGCACCCATCCGCTTTTACAGAGAATGGGTGCCTTGAAGTTACATGAGATCACGTCCACCAGAACATTTCACTCCCGACTGAAAAGTATTTACAACCCATCCAGTAGGCTGGAAGGGAAATTGTCCTGCTCTCTTTTCCTCAAAGGCAAAGAAACTGGCAAGGAGGAGACAGATCTTTGCAAGGCGAGTCAGGTTCAGCAGGACTGGAGTGGGGAAGCATAAGATATCTCAATGGGTTGCGGGGGGGGGGGGCCTTGGGGCCTGTTCCAGTACTAGGCCCCCCTCCCATAGCCTTCCCCACCCAGATATCTCATGTGCACTTAACAACCCACACATTCGGTTAGCAAAAGCAGGGAGTGATCACGTTCAAAGTACACAATTCACTCCTACAAATCCTCAAGTTACGAATGAACTTGGCAGGTTGCATTACATTCGTAACTTGAGGACTACCTGTTTTACAGGTTCATTTTTTATAGTAGATAAAATATACAAATGAAATGTTGCAATTTAAGAGATGAAGCTAAACTTTCCCTTGGATTCTGAATAAACTTACTAGTTAAAGCTTTTAGGAACTTGTGTTACATGGTATTGATCTTAACTACAGAGACGTGCAGCAGCATCTGAAATGGAGGAACTAGACCAGGAATGTCAAACTCATTTTCACTGAGGGCTGCATCAGCATTGCGGTTGTCCTAGGGGGGCTGGGTGGGTGTGGCCAGAGTGGGTGCAGCCTACTGAGTGGGCATGGATGTGGCGTACTGGGTGGGCATGGCCAGTTCTACATCATTCACATCAAGATGCCTATGGGGGGCCTGGGCAGGAGTGGGACAGATCTGAGGGTCTCTGGCAGAAGGGGGTGGGACCGGGACAAGTGCCAAGATGGCCACAACATTGTACATTGCTCCCAGCTGGCCTGGGCCAGGGCCAAGGCAGCAGGGGCCTTTCCCTCACTGTTTCCGGGATGGCTTCGCGGGCCACATGAAACCACTTCGCGGGCCACATCCGGCCCCTGGGCCTTGTGTTTGACATGTCTGAACTAGACTAAAAATAACTTAGAGTGAAATCTGGCCACTTCAAAATATGGTATTAAATGTTTTGGATAATTTATAATCAGCATCAACCAAAGGGTAGTAAGGCTAATCTAAAAGTTCTCAGATATTTGCAATCCAATTTTTCATATGGCTAAATATATTTTTGTCTTAAGACTTACCATGTTCATTTAATTTTGGCAAAATAAATGATGTGGCATATTTGGGGCCTGATGCAGATAGGTCTTTATTTTTCACAGAAAAAAAACATCTTTTATAGACCATTGAGGACTGGATAATTGAAAAGAACTTGCTACCCAAAGAGCAAACTGGATTTAGGTTCAGTCACTCTACCATTCATATAATAGAAAAGTATATAGCTAAAGGGAGCAAACTCTTCATAACTTTTATAGACCATAGTGCAGCATTTAATTCAACAAATAGGGACCTTCTTTGGAAGAAATTTATGGACCTGAACATGGATCCCAGACTCATCTCTTTATAATTAAGGCATTATACTCGAGCTAATACCTACTGTTACACACAGGGACATGTAATTCCTTAACAGAAAATTAGTTATCAATAAAAGGGTCAGACAAGGATGTATACTGGCTCCCATTTTTTTTAATTTGTATATTAACAATGTCCCAAACTCCAGCAGATATGCATATGCCTAAAATTGAAAATTGACATGTAAATAATCTGCTTTACATAGATGCGGTAATATTGAGACCTTATATCCAGGATAGGGTCGAGAAGCCTGCTGTGCAGGTTTAGTTCATACTGTGCACTCAACTACCTGAATATCAATAAGTCCAAAATTAAGCTACAGGTAGTTTTCAATGCAGAATCACTTGTTTAGTGATCAATTGAAGTTACAACACTGAAAAAAGGGGGGTTTTTTCACACTTATGACTTGTAGCATTCTTACGGTCACGTGACCAAAATTTGGACACTTGGCAACTGGCATGTATTTATGGCAGTTGCAATGCTCCAAGATCATGTTCTCACTTTTTGCAACCTGACAAAAGTCAATGGGGGAAACCAGATTCACTTAACAACCAATTTAACAACTGCAGTGATTCACTTAACTATGGTTAAAAAAAGGTTGTAAAATAGGGCAAAACTCTCTTAATTGTCTTATTCAGCAACAGACATTTTGGGCTCAATTGTTGTCATATGTTCTGGACTATCTGCAGTTGTTTTGGAGAAGTGTGCTAGGTATAATTGGAGCCTAGATAGGGAACACATCAATTAAGTTGTATCTATACTTAGAACTTTTTTCTGCAGAAACAAGTTTCCTACTCCCATATTTTAAGACAAGTTTTTAAGAATTACAGATTTCATGCCATAAGGCAGCTCACCAACCACAGCTACCTGAGTGCTCTATTTCCAATCATAAAGGTATGTAACAGCAAAATAGTTCCAATGCCCGCATATGGCGCAGAACCATGGGAATATATACATGCCCCTTTATTGGAACAGATAGTCTATTATCTGAAATGAATCTTGGAGTGGATAAGTCTATACCAAGGGTAGGCAACCTCGGCTCTTTTATGACTCATGGACTTCAACTCCCAGAATTCCTGAGTCAGCTGCTGACTCAGGAATTCTGGGAGTTGAAGTCCATGAGTGATAAAAGAGCCAAGGTTGCCTACCCCTGGTCTATACCAACTCCTTTTTGATTGCAAACTGTACTCTGCAGAAAAAGCTACTTACGTAAATAAGCTAAAAAACCCCTGGGGCACCTAGGAGAAATACTTTTTGCAGGGAATAAGCCTGCACATCAGTAATACGACTACGTTTTTAATATCAAATGCTATTTTGAAGAGAATGGAATATTTAGATCGGACTGTAGATGTGATGACTTACTATGAACATGTCCTATTTTCTTTATATCTATTGTACATTTGTATTTGCTTTATATTTCATATTCATATTTTGATGTCAAAAGTTCTATTCACAAAACAAAATGAAATGGATATGAAATTTACAACTGAATTGTAGAAAAGGAGCTTTGTATAATCCTTTATTTACAAAGACATGCAGTCAATCTTGAGTTTTCCTCCAATAAAAAATGGTACCTGCAAGTAAATTATCTGATTAACTGCTGCTCCTGTTACTGACTGATGGCAAGTTAAAAAGTTTCTCAATGAGAGAGAAATAGGTCCTCTAAAACAGCAGTATTTGAACTATTACATTTTATTACCTGAAACTGGGAAATAAACTGTGAACCTAGCAGATTGCTTAAGAATGGATTCCATGGAACTAAAGCTATTTCTAAATTAAGCAAATACAGTTAATTCTTGCTCATTGTCAATAACGAACTGGAATTTGTCAGTAAAACACTGTAAAGCACAATGTCACATAACTGTACTGCCTAGCGACAATTCCTGGTTGTCATTAAACAAATCCTGTAATGTTTAGCATGACTTCATATGGTCATTTGTAGCTGCCTGCTGACTTCCCAACTAATTTTGCTTGTCAGAAGCTGGCAGTGAAGGTCGCAAATGCCGATGTGACCATAGGATGCTGTGATGTAATTGTCAGCTGGTCACCAGATCACAATCACATGATCATAGGAACCCTGCAATGGTTACCTCAATGCCATCGTAAGTTTTAACAATAGTTGTTAAGTGAGGATTGCTACTTGTATATAATTTTGTTTTTTTCAGTAAACCTTCTAGGATTTTATAAGAAGATCCAACTCCAAGCCTAATCTAGTGAAAATACACATTAGAGG